CCCTTAATAACTGGTTGGAAGTGGTGAGATGGACCTCACGACACGGTGCTGTGTTGTGGTGAATACTTGGTCTTTGCTTTGATTTTCCAGGCTGCATTTTGTGAGTGTGAGTTCAATAGAAGCCGGATCGTGTGTGAGTTAGGGAGATCGCCTATTTTCGAGTACTGAATTAGTCAGAGGGATCCCCTACATTTGTGTGAGATGCAGAACCAAAGTAAACCAGCAATTATGGAGTGAAAGTCACTACTGAAGGAGGAACTTATGTATATTTGTGAGAACCTAGGTATTAAGGATGAGGAGGGTATAGGTACAACACTGATTGTGAGGCTGGTTTTGCAAAAAGCCAGTGAGGAAGAAATTGAACCTGCGTAAATGTTTTGAAAAGGTTTTTGGAACAAGAACAAGAAAGAGAAAAAAAGGAAACAAGAGAACAAAAGGTAGAGATTAAACTACTTAAGCAGAAAATGGAGGCAATGCGGCAGAAGATTCAGCCATCTGCAAGTGTTGCGCAGAAGAAGTGCGATAAACTATTGAGTGTAGTGCAGCTTAGAGCCATAGAGATGGCTAGCACATGTTATTATAGCAGCAGATTCAAAGAGAATCGAGTTTGAGAGCTGCAAAAGATGCTGCGCTGAGTAGAGAGACCGACGAAAGCCAGAGCAAGTGCGACGAGGTGCTGTGCCAGTAAAATGCTAGCCAAACAGCTAGGATAGCTGTGGACAATCTGGTACAGACCTTAAGTGTGGTTGTCACGACGGTGGATCTTGCAAACGATGTTGAAGTAGGCAAGGACAACGGAGATAGCTCAAAAGCAGCGAAAGCGGAGAGTGACAAGAACAGTGCGGTTGTAGACAGCTCCCAGCAAAGCAAGGGAGATTTTTCGAAGGGAAGCAGCTGCATTTTCCTTAGGTGTGTTAACCTGTCCGCCAGTCAAGAGTGTGACAAAAAAGATGATTTGGTAATAAATTCGTTCAGATAGCATGGGTGAGACAGCTGCCGAAGTCAGTGAGAGTATTTACGAGCTTCAGTTGCTATCCAGAAGCTCAAAAATGAGTCCTAAGGAGCGGCGCAGACGCAACAGACGTCTGAGTGCCACGACTGAGACAAGCAGCACTACGTGTCTTGAGAAAGGTTTGCAACCTATCAGCGCAGCAAGCAGATCTAGGAGTTTGGCGTCGACGTCAAAGTTCACTTGTATGCGTCTGAACTGCCGGACGAAAGAAATGGAAACAGCGGGTCCTTCACAAATGAAATCAAATGGAAGGCGCCAGTTTAGTTGGGTGCGTGAGTACAGGGTTACTACCGATGAATCGGCTCAACATGGCAACAGTGCTAAGAAATTGAAGCGCCGAAGTGGTACGGAAGGCTGTGTAGAAGCGCCGTTGAGTTGTAATTTTACCAATGACGCAACGCGAGGCGAACTAACGACGATAGTTATAGCGCGAGAACAAAACAACGGCACAGAGACAAGAAGGACACGAAAGACACGAGTCGTGTCCTTCTTGTCTCTGTGTCATCGTTTTGTTCTCGCGCTATAGCTATCGTCCTGCCATACCACCTAGCCCAAGCTGCCACACTTCCGAGGCGAACGTTCTACTAGTGGGAAAAATTTTGGTAGCAAACGTCGCCGCGAAAGAGTGAAGCGTACGCGCGCGACAGAGCAAAAGGATGACTGAGGTGGTAAGCAGCCGGAAAAAAGAAAGAAGGATAGCTCATCGGCCAGTTTGATGAAGAAGCCTTTGTAGCGTGAAGTGAGGCACCAGCGGCGAAAGGGTAGGTCACAGCACGCATCCTCTCGACGGAATGCACGCCGGAGATTGAAGCCTTGACGGGCACAAGAGTGTTGATGTGGTCATAGAAGAAAGACCACAGTAGCTAAGCACCGCTTGGGAGTGAGCCCGAAGAAGGCATGGTAACTTTTTCCCACACATTTTGGTGTCCCCTTCGCCATACTAACAGAACCAGATTGATTGATTGATATGTGGGGTTTAACGTCCCAAAACCACCATATGATTGTGAGAGACAGCGCAGTGGAGGGCTCCGGAATTTCCGACCACCTGGGGTTCTTTAACGTGCACCCAAATCCGAGCACACGGGCCTACAACATTTTGGCCTCCATCGGAAAGGCAGCCGCCGCAGCCGGAATTCGATCCCGAGACCTGCGGGTCAGCAGCCGAGTACACCACGCAAGGCGCTGACAGAACCAGGCCGAAATCACTAATGACGCGTGACTTTGCAGTTCATCTTGTTGGTTGTGCTTGTTATTGTCTTGGACATTTTCGAAATCTGTGAGGACCACGACCGCCACGTGTACAATTGAAGAGCGATGAACAGCTGTGTGCTAGAGAGTGGGACACAGTAACTTTCTTAGAACATGTTTGTTAGTTTATATTTGGGTTTGAAGTAATATTCTTATGTCATCTCCGCATCTACTTTGTTAAGATAGAGTTTTCCCCTTCTAGATTTTTTCGTAAGCGTTGTGAAAGTTTTCAGTTAAATTGTTAAGCGTTATGCGGAAGCAGGGACCCAAATCGGTCAACCGACTGCGTGAAAGAAGTATTTCTTTGAGATAAGAGCGCGTAAGTGGTAAATGAAGATTTGGTACGCCCACTGATTTTTAAAGCATGGTAGCGTTTTCGAGCGGAGCTGAAGCTTGTATGTTTTGTAGTTTTTTTGTGTAGTGCGAAGTTTTATATCGTCTTAATGGAGTAAATGAGCAATGTTAAGGAAGGTTTTAGAATAAAACTAAAGGCAATTGTCGAAATGCTCATGTTTGGAGATAACTTGATAAAAGGTTTTTAGCGAAAACTTACGCAAGATCTGTTAGGTGCTCATGACGTGTATGGCATCTAGCGTTATTTTTCATGGCGTGTAGTTTTTTGTGAACATTTACTATCAGATGTGTGTTTAATGGTACATAGGGTATAGGGATTGACTTTTGGTTAGGTTGTGTTGGTATGCTAAGCGTTCTATGAAAGGAGAGTATAATGTCGTGCTTGGATGCATAGCAAAGCCCAGTGCGTTGTTCTTTAAAAAAACATGGGGTGATATGAGATTATATTCAACAAGTGAGTGTGTTAGTACGTGTGGTTTATTCCCTTTCGTTGTCTTAGTGAGTACTTACAGGAATCGTATGATCACTTGAGCTGAGAGCGTTGCGTTCACCTGAACTTTGAGGATGAACTTCGAAGATTAAGAGGACGCAGTTTGAACGGTTGTAAGTGAGTTTTCGTTGGCGTACGGGTACTCATGACTACGCCTTGAAAGTATGTCATGAGAGAACAGAGAATGCGCACAGATACCTTGTGTTGGTACGGACAGCATGCTTGTGAAACCATTGTAGTTAGTGATGTTTCAGTAAGTTTGTGATAAATTAGCAGGGGTTAGTTACAATATAATAATGCGGATGGTAGGAGAAATATAGTTTTGAAAGAGTGTGTTTATGGTTAGCTGGGGTCAAATTGTATTTTTCTTTCTAGGCTTTTTTCGCATGTCGAATTGATCTATCTTTAGTAAGCATTTTCACATCCATGATTGTTGTAGCTTTGGCGGCACGAAATTATGTCAAAATATTATTGTACGGGTTTTTCATTTGTGTGTGTTTGTTGAAAAGCCTGGAGGGTTTTAGGTGGGGACCATCTACTCTTTAGGTGGAGCCATCTACTTAGGGTATATGGCTCCCCACGACGGTGGGGAGCCATCTACCCTAAAAAGATACCCGCCGTACCCATCATCAACCTCGATACTTAATTAGCAGTCTGTAGGAGTTTTTGCCATGTGGCTTCAGCGATGAAGGCAACTGTGACCTCCAGCTTTGGTGGTGATTGCGACGGTGTTGTGTGCCTAGCGTTTCGTTTGGCAATCTCCTCACGTACAATCTACCGAATCGGTTGGCGTAGACAGCTTTCACCGGACAACGTGGTCAGAGCGGCGGAACCTAAACATGCGCTGGTGTTTTGGAGATTGTATGGCTGGTACCGCTGCTGCAACGCCCACTCGATTGCTGTGGTCTCCTAAATAAACCTGTCCACTGTTTTCGAAGGATTGTACACAAGGCCAGCGAACAAGTTTTCTTTGAATGCTGTGCATGACATTACTGAGCTTTTTAGCTTCGGGCACGTTGGGATTTACGTGGTAAAACGAACGCGCCATATCTTCAGCAAACATTGCGGCCCCCTCATTTGGATGTAGGTGGCGCAATTCAAGAAGGCGTTGCGCATTTTCACGTAAGTCTTGGCTTCCGAAGGTATCAATTAGCCGACGAGGAAGCTCATCATACGTTCCCGAAGTTCTTTCGCGGTTTATGAACCACGTCTTAGCGTTGTTTTCACGTGAAAAAAATACGTTCAGTATCCACTTGTCGTCGCAGATCCGCTCGTTAGACTTTGCTAGCCGATAAAACTTCTCTAGCCACTCTGACGCATCTTTGTTTTTGTGAACATAAAAGGCTAAGGATGTCGAAGGTTCTGGGTTGTTACCTGTGTTGCGTTGCTTCCCGAGGAACTTTCTTGAACAGGGCTGTCCATTGACAAAAGTGGCCCTTGTAAGGGGCCAAATTCGGGGCCCAGACCTTGACAGTAGCGGCTTCAGTGGTGCAACGGAGCCTCCATGCGTGGGTTCCTAGTAGGGCTGGAACCAGGGCTTCTCACTGGACTGGCGATCTCGAGGCAACGGCACCCAGCACTTCCACTCAAGTCAAGTCAAGGAATCAAATCTCAAAAGGCTGTACTGATCGTTTCCTTATGCTTCTTCTTTGCTGCTTACGTAGCTGGGTGGTAGATTTATTTGACCCGATTATTATATTTCTTCTTAAAACTAAAATCAGATAGTGAACTAAACTATGTTTTCAATGAAACATAATAGTGGTGAACAAGTAGTCTCGATTCTTGCTTCACAAGATGTATTGTGCAAAACTTGGGCCTTCAGAATTAAAACGCCAAAAAGTGCCAAATAAATAATATACATGATCAGTTGAAGCCTATGCGGATGATACATTGCAGGGGCCTTCAACCTGTATGACCTAGACAACGACGGGTTCGTGACGAGGTCTGAGATGCTGGACATTGTTACGGCTATCTACGTGCTGCACGGCAAGGCGGGACTCGCTGACACGGACGCTGCCGGTGTGGATATCCCACGCAAGAGGGTCGACCAGCTCTTCGCAAAACTGGACACCGTAAGTGCAACCGACATCTTCCGTAAGTTTGCATTCCCGCTTCTTGTCTTTATATCTGCATGTGATTGCTGCAGCCAGTGGAACTGATTTCTTTCGACTGTCATATATTTTATTATTTATTTTATTTATTTATTTATTTATACAATAGTGCAGACCAATTTAATGGTCCAAGCAGGACGGGCAGAAAAAAAGAATGTTCACGCACATACAATGCAATGCAAAAAAAAACAATGAAGCAACAAACCACAGAATTCACTTAGAACTACAAAATAAACAAGCCACGGTGAAACCGACTTTTCGCACAAACATAGCAGGGTTTCCAATCCAAATAAAACTAGAAAATCACGCACAACTTCAAGAAACATTGCTAAAAACCCGATCGTCAGTAATTAAAAGTTTCTAAAATGATCGTGTAGAGCTGTCATAAAATTTCCACTAAAAATTCTTTCTGGCAATTTATTCCAGTCATCTACCGTGCGTGGAAAATATGAAAACTTAAAGGTATTTGTTCGGGCAAAGAATGGGGATAAACTGTGGCTATGTGTGTGTCGTGTTTTCCTCGTGGTGGACGGACTAATGAATGGAGTGGGTGATATACACTTAATTAGGGATTCCATAAAAGCTAAGCGGGAAATTTGGCGTCTAATGTGTAGTGGTTGGATTTTATTGAGTGTCATGATACCTGACGGAGAATCACTTCTTTTATATTTATTATAAATAAAACGAACAGCCCTCCTCTGAACCTTCTCCAATTCGTTAATGTTTTTGTTCATGTACGGGCCCCAAAAAACCGCTGCATACTCCAGTTTAGGCCTAATTATGGAATTATACGCTAAAAGCTTAACGTTACTAGGTGTACCTCGAAGTTTATACCGTAAAAGACCAAGTTTTTTTTAGCGCTGAAGAAGTTACCTGCTGAACGTGGTCGTTCCAATCTAATCTGAAGTTCAATACGATACCTAGGTATTTAAACTTACTAACCTCCTCGATTAAGGTGTTTTTAATTTTGTACCGGAAAGTTATGGGGTTTCGTTTTCTGGTTATACGTAAAAGAACTGTTTTTGTAGTGCTAATTTTCATGCCCCATTTGTCGCACCAAGATGATATGTCACATAAAGCCCTATCTAGCCGATGTTGATCAGAAGCAGACTGCACTTCAGTATAAATCATGATATCATCCGCGAACATTCCAATATTCACAGTATCACCAACCACAGACACTAAATCATTAACATACAACAAAAAAGGCAGGGGCCCCAGCACACTTCCCTGGGGCACACCTGATGTCACTGTTAGAGAAGAGGAACAAGTACCATCGATGTCTACAAATTGCGTTCGATCTTTCAAATATGAATTAACCCAATTTACAAGTGTAGAAAGAATTCCTGCTTGTTTAAGTTTTAAAAGAAGGCTACCGTGAGGAACCCTGTCGAATGCCTTGCTTAAGTCTAAAAACAAAACATCAATTTGCCCGCAGTGATCTCAGATTGAACTAAAACTATGAACGGCGGTGACCAACTGCGTAACGGTAGGAAATCCCCTTCTAAAACCATGTTGGAAGGGACTCAATGTTTTATTTTTTTCCAGTACATTAAGAATATGGTTAGCTACAATATGTTCTATCATCTTGCAACAACAGCACGTTAAGGAAATTGGTCGATAATTGTCAACAAGTGTTTTACAAAACACTTGTTGACAATTATCAACACAGTTAAAACACAGCGTGTTTTGTTAAAAGTGTTTTGTTAAAACACAGCAAAGTGCTTTAACAAAACACTTTGCGGGGATTGTAAGTCCTTACTCAAGATAATAATGCCCAACATTTTACGAGGGCAAGGCAGACTGGTACGTGCGCTAAATGCAAATATTTTTAGGAAAATCACCCGAACTCCATTTTATAGAAATGTTTCGAAGGTAGCGAGCGCGTGCGATATCACCAAACAGCAGTAGACAAGGTGGGCAAGACTAAACTATATTGGCCGTGAAACTAGCAATGAAGCCCCGCCGCGGTGGTCTAGTGGCTAAGGTACTCGGCTGCTGACCCGCAGGGCGCGGGTTCGAATCCCGGCTGCGGCGGCTGCATTTCCGATGGAGGCGGAAATGTTGTAGGCCCGTGTGCTCAGATTTGGGTGCACGTTAAAGAACCCCAGGTGGTCTAAATTTCCGGAGCCCTCCACTACGGCGTCTCTCATAATCATATAGTGGTTTTGGGACGTTAAACCCCACATATCAATCAATCAATCAAACTAGCAATGAAAAGTGGTCGAAAACCTATAGACTGCCAAAGACATGAACATACACCGTCTCTCTGAGGTGCGACTAGGCGACATGTGGACCAATAACAAAAACCAAATGAACAATTTTTCCAAAATTTATTTTCTCTATGCCAAAATGAAAAATATTTGCTTCACAGTTTATTTGGCACTTGGCTAAACAGCTAATTGCCTAATATCTTGGTCGAGTGGCATACGTGGGTGGCATATATAGGGAATCTGTGATCTGGGCACGTTTTCAGCGCATTGTCGGATCAATGAGGCATCACTAATTTTTTTCGCGGGGGCTGATGTATATCTTCCGTAAGTTGTTTTTCTTTACATATGTGGTATTAGTTGGCGATGACACATCAAAAAAATTCGTACTCGCTCGAGGAGTGCGTAGATAACTGCTTATGTGACTGCTTTGCTGGCACACAGCAGACGTGCGCTCACATTTTGTGTCGCTGTACTCTACCGTTACCAAACTGATATTATCAAGGCTGCTGCCTCACTGCAGTGAATTTTGACAATCAAGCAACGTGATCTTTAGAACTATTGTTTTCTTAAGTTATTGCACCATAACTTCTTCATCAGCGAAGTACTTTGGTGTACATTGAAGGAACGCTATATTGCCACGTTCCTTTCCTCAAGTTTCATTATCGCGCCGTTACACGATGTTCTGTGCAATCTGTGTCTACGGTGTTATAGAAGCTTCGAGGCTGTAGTAGATTATTTTATTAGGACTACGCCCCCTTCGTGAATTTTTCAAGTTATTCTGGAACCTAACTCCCCGCTAGCGACAACGTTAGAATGTTCGATGGCCAGTGTAGAAATGCCGACACGCTTCGCCGCTTGCCATTTGATCGACGGCCGACGTTCTGTTTGCCGCTATCAGTGTCTTCCTTTCTTTTTGCATGGCAACAAGTTTTGCCCAATTATACAGTTTCTTGTTTGACGTAGAGTATGCTTCCTTCGTTCACATAATGAAACTATGATGTCCGATGGAGGTGCCACTTCGTTCACGTACCGGGCACCCCCATCAAGCCATGAACTCAGCCAACGTCGCGGAAAAGACACCGAATCAAGCCAAGAGCACCGAACCCGCCACAGGCAGCAGGGCTTACTTCCAGAGTACGGACCTCTACAAGACAAGGCTCCGAAGACCAAGGCCATGACCTCGACTGCGGAAACGATGACGACTGCTGCGCCACAGCCCACTATCATGATGCAGCAGCCAAGAGAATCACCGATTTTTCATTGGTCATCGTTTGAAATCCTGTAGGCCTGGCTAGAGACCTATGATAGAGTGGCTGCCCTCAAGCACTGGGACGCAGAAGAGCTCTGCCACGTCTACTTTTACCCGAAGACGCGACAAGGACGTGGTTCGAGAATAGGGAGTCTTCGCTCGAAACGTGGGATCTCTTTTGCGGCGCATTTATGCAAACGTTCATGAGCGTCGCCCACAAAGAGAAGGCCGCTGCGTTGCTGAAGACTAGTATGCAGCTGCCCAATGAAAACGTCAGCATTTTCATGGAAGAAACGAGCCGCCTCTTCCGCCACGCTGACGCCATGTGCGAGGAGAAGAAGGTCCGTCTGCTCATGTGAGGACTCAAGCAAAAACTTTTCGCTTAGCTGATCAGAAACCTCGCAAAGACAGCCGCCGAATTCATTTCGGAAGCATCTACGATAGAGAAGATGCACGAGATGTGGACACGTCAATACAATCATTGCTTCTCGCCTACAAGCTACGCCGACATCCAAGAGCTAGAAACCACTGACTTGCGTGACACGATCGCAGCGATCCTACAAGAAGAGCTGTGAAAATTGCTTCCTTCAGTGCAGCCTCGCGCGGACTCCATCTTGGACGTCGTACGTCAAGAGATCCAGCAATTGCTGGGCGTTGCTCAGCCTGCAGAACCGAAGCTGCAGGTTGCCTTCAGCTATGCTGCTGCAGCCCGCCGTCATGGCTCTCCTCCACGCTGATGCCAGGACACCGCCTCGTCGCACTGCCATCGTTAGACGCCACTGCGGCACTACCACTATAGACGTCCTACCGTTCGCCAGCGGGACAGCGTAGCGCACCGAGGAAAACCAAAGTTTGGCGTGCACCTGACAAACGCCTGCTGTGCTACCACTGTGGCGAGGCCGGGCAAACCTACCACCGTTGTCAGTACCGACAGATCGGCCTACGGGGCTTTGACATCCACGCGCCGTGTCCACAACATGACGAACATCGCATGTCATTGCCGACTACCTCGCGGGAGCACAGTTGACACCGCGACGGCCTTATCATTCGCCGTCGACAGGCTGCTACGCCTCACCGCACCGCGCTCCCTACACCGGCTCTCCTCAGAACCGATCTCAGAGCCTTTACTCAGAAAACTATGGGCAGCAACCAATGTAGGTGCAGTTGCTGTACTACGAACTACTGAAGATCCTCCGCCGCCACCGATGACGACGCCACAAAAAAAAAAAAACGGAAAGCACCCGCCGCAAGATAAAAGCAGTCAGTGACATCGAACCTTCGCAACATGGAAACGTCACGCCGCAGCGACGTGGAAGCATTGAAACAAATAGGCGTAGCCGTGATCCGACATCACTACCCAACCACATCACACGACGACGAACCAGCGACTTCAACGTATATTCGAGGGCCACCTCGTCACTGCTCTCGTTGATACTGGAGCCAACTATTCTGTCGTCAGGGGGCACGTGGGGCTGGTAGGGCTAGTCAAGCTGCGTTTT